CTCTTATAACTGTAAGAAGAGACCCGTTAAAGATCTTCTGCTATATAAATACTGTTAAAAGAACTGGAATAACAATAATATCAATAAGTCTGAGAACTTTGCTATCTTTACAATTTTTACAATTTCTGTGATCTATATAGATCACATAACTAAATTAAGAAATTAAAGATAATTTTGAATTATAATATTATTTCAATCAATACTCTGTATATAGACTATACAAATATATAATATAAGAATAATATTATTATTAGATTATTTCAAGTTTACAATTAAAATCAAGAAAAATTATTAAAGTAATTGACTTATCAAGATCTAAATTCAAATCTTATTGTAAACTTATTAACAAACTTATTATTTTACTATCAAATGAAATATTACTTATATATAAAATTGATTATTGCAAAAATTTTTAAATATACATAATAAAAATTTTATAGTTCAACAGATTAATAGTTCAAAATATTAAAAATTCAATATTTCTAAAGATCAATAGTTCAAAATGTCAAAAGTTCAAAATATTTGTTATATTAATACATAATATATAAACAAATAATAAGCCAAAAATAAGTAAATAATAAAAATATATATAAATATAGTTTAATAATAATATATATAAATTAGAATCAATAAAAATAAACTAATTAATTATTCAATAAAATATAAGAAATAAAATATATTATAACAATATTATAAAATAGTATTCATAATATAATAAATTTAATACTGTATTATTTTATTAAAAAAATAGTATAAAACAATATATAAAATAATTAATAATAATACTAAATTAATCTATATTAATTTTAGTATAGTATAATATCAAAATACATAATAGTATAATATTGAATCTTTATTTATTCTTGATATACTGTACTTTTAATATATTATGCATTTAGTATACTATTTATTCAGAATTTTATTTGTTAAGTTTATATATTATCAGAATTATAATTATTAAAATATTGAATATTATCTGAAGAATTATTATTTATAATTAATAATTCTCTTTTTTTATTAGTATATTATTACTATTATTATTTTTATTAGATTAAAGATAATATATCTGAGAATAAAATTATCACTAATATTACTTTATAATATTCAAAAATCACTTTTTATTTATTTATTAAATTTTTCTTCTTTTATATACAATAATATTTGTATTCTTTTTTTATATTATAATATCAAATAATAATAATAATACAATAAAAAAATTTGTTTTTTTAATATAAAGTATAATATAATACAATAAATTTTAATTATTTATTATAGTAATTAATTTTTTTCTTAATAAAAATATTATTTTAATAACAAATTTTTGAAAAAAGTTATGTTTATAAATTAAATTAAAATTAAATTTTTAATATATATAACAAAGTATAATAATTCTTTTTATAAGCAATCTTTATTTAAATAGATTTTTATTAAAGTAAAAATTACTAATTATAAGTAATATTATATATATAATTATATATATTATTAAGTAATTTTATATAATAGTAGAAAAAAAATAATATGATAAAGATGAAAAAGAAAAAATAAATTAATTATATTATAAACTATAATTAAATCTCAAAATAATAAATTACTTAAACTGAAAATTTTTTTATTATATTGAGTTTTCTTATAAAATTTTACTATATAGATATAATTTTAAAAAAAGTTCTTTTTTTTATTATAGTATTTAACAAAAGTATTCTTACTAAAAATAACATGATAATTATTATAATATAGTGATAAATAAAATATTATTAAGTTATAATTAAAGATAAGATCATAATTAATTGCAACTTAATTACAATTTTCTGATTGATTGTTGCAATTAATCATAATTAAATTATAATTCTCTGATTAAATACTGCAAGTTATAATTAATTAAAATATTATCTTTAATTATAATTAGTTATAGCTTATAAAATTTTGAAGTTACAATATGTTGTAATAAGTAACAATTAAGTATTATATACTTGTTGCACTATCTCTAATTCTTGCACTAATAGTTTTTAATTGATCAAATATAAATTTTTAAAATTTTATTGTATAATACATGTATATTACAAATACTAATTATTAATATTTTTTTATTGATTGGTAAATTCAATATTAGATATCATATATTTATAAAATTTTATACTTCAAATACAATAAATTAGTTATTTTAAAATATAATATCTCAATATTTAGTAATCTGATTTGAGTAGAATTATTATCATTTAATTTATTTAATCTAGACAAATTTAATTATAATATTTTTACTCAAATTAATTTACTAAATATTGAAATATTACATACTAAAATAACTGATTTATAATTCACTAATCAATTTTTTATTAGAAATTAATTATTTAAAAATGAATTGAATTGAATATAATATATATATATTTTAATTTTAATAATTTTATTTAAATAAAAATAATATTATATAATTCATCTAGTCAAGATAAATTGAATAATATTATTTTTATTTGACTTAGATTATAAAAGATTGAGATATTATTACAATAGTAACATAAAAATCACATGACAGGGTGAAACCTGGGTTACAAAAAGGGAAAATCTGTGTTGATTAATTGTATTATGTGAAATCTGTTATTTTTGCGATTATTATGTAAAATCTGCGTTTATTGTTTGTGTCATGTGAAATCTGACGTTTTCGGTGAAACCTGAATTTTACTGGTCATATCATGTAAAATCTGACTTTTTTGGTGAAACCTGATCGTATCAGGTGAAATTTGATTTTTTTGTGAACAAAAAATGAACGAACCATTGCCTTCTAGTATCATCAAGCCCAAGACAAAAAGCATTATTTGGCGGTCATTGCTACCAAACATACGATGTATGCAAGTGCCGCTCACAGAGGTTACTTCAGTGTTAGACTTGTACACTTTTGACATTATGTCATTAGGAGGTGGAAAGTTAGGTGATGGTTATAAAATTTTGCCAGAGGACTACACGTATAAGGGTCGGATAAGAGAAGAGGATGTCAAAGCTATTACGCTTATAAATGAGAGCGCCAAGCAATATTCTCGTTCAAAGAATACGTACATAGAATACATTGGATGTTCTACTCAGGTATCTAAGATCCATCCTCTTTGGGTTAATTAATAAAAAAACTAACTTGAATTTTATTAAATAGAATGGTTGTCACAAGGATAAGTGCAACTGGAAAGGCCGTATCGTGGTTCTCCTAAACAAGCCACTCAATCTTTGTAATATTGAATGCTCTGGTGATCATGATTCTGACCACATTCAGCAAAAACCACATCGAATGGCAACATCAGTTAGAAAAACAATCTCAAGCAGAGCCACAAATACAACTCCCTCTGTAATGGCAACAGGTAAATTTAGAAAAATAAGTGTTCAAATTTATAATTAATTGATTGTGCTTGTATTTCAGAATTTATGAACAATGCGAAGATTCTTAGTATAAACTCTAGCATTCCTGCCAATCATGTTCAACCAACTTCTACTCGATTTGCGCCCAATCTCGAGGCCATTCAAAATGTCCTCAAGTATGACAAAAAATTGCATTATTCAAGTGCACTAGAGTTTGAAAAGGTAATTAATTAGTTTGTTTTTTATTTCTTCATTTTTGCATGTTAATTTACTTTAATTTACAGGTTTGTTCTATAATGGATACTTATGAGAAAGAACACGTTGTTATATCAAAACAATATGGCATTAAAGATGCTGACAATTCAAAAGATCAAGCTGTGCTTCTTGGTATTGCATCAACTATAATGCTGGAGCTGTTGTTCAAATATTCAGATTTTTTGGTTGTGGACTCTACTAGTCGTCGCAATGGTCTAAACTTTCCAAATACTGCTTTTATGATTAGATTAGATGAACCTCATGGTCAGATTGTAGCAACATTCATAAGCGATAAAGAAACCATACCAGTTGTCAGTCTGATGTTTGAACAAGTGAGTATTATGATTTGTTTAACAAATGATTTTCTGATTCTTGCTATAAATTTCATTATTTGGAGTTTATTGAATATAGTATTAAAAATGACATTCGACTGAACTCTCAATGGTTAGCTATGGACAAGTGGTGACCTTACTTGGTGGCAGATAGAAAACACTTCCCTAATATGCAAGTAGTTTTGTGTGATTGGCATGAAGACAAGTTTTTTGGATCTTTAATTCTTTTTTATTCGAGTTTTATTTATTGACATCTATCTAGCTGATGCAATTAAGGAATGGTTTGTAAAAACCTAAATGATCAATGGCTTAGAGACCGAACTTTCTATCAATTTCATTTCGTTAAATGATCTCGGGACCAAGAAGAATTTGATCAACGGAAAACTGTTTTGCTAGACGTGAAAACATTTCAGGCTGCCACTGGGATTATTTCATTAGCTACAACAGAGACTATTATATCTTATTTTTGGATATACTGGTTTGACGATTGGATTGGTGAGTAAAAATGGTTTTATTTTTTGTAATCTTCAATTTTATATTAATCTTATTATAGATACTTGACCAGATTATAAATGGGATAGTTGTCCTATGAAAACAAACATGTTACTAGAAAGTTATTTTAAAAAGGACATGATATTACACTATCGAGAAAGGAACACCAAATCTCTACATTCTAATCTTGAAAAGATCAGTACATCGATGCATGTAGATGCTGGAGAGATGGAAAGGTAAATATGAAAATAGTTTTTTTTAAAGTATAATAACATAATTTTTTCTAAGATTTTGGAAAGGAGAAGGCAAGCCTCCGACAAAGTCAGATCTACAACGAAAATAAATGAACAGGGAGAATTGTTGTATAAAAAAAATCTTGTGCAAGGTAAGTTCTTTTTAATTTTTTTTTTAATTTGCAAATAATTTATTGGTTTTGCTTCAGAAATTGATCAGGACACTTGGCATGTTATCTGGTTTACTACCGCTGACTTGAAAGATGATGTTGTAAATAAAGAAAATAAATCAGAGTCCAATGAAAACAACGAAAAACAGTTGTGTATTACGCATAAAAATGGAAAATTTGCGTGTTCATGCAGTTTCAATGTAATCAGTGATCATGAATGTCAAGATATTGTAGCCATTCATTTATTTATTGGAAAATTCAAATTACGAAAGTAAGATTTTTCGAGTCTTATAAATTTATTTCATTCTATGCATTAACATATATTTACTTTTTATAGCAAGATCTAATTGTAAAGATAAGAACTTTTTTGATTTTTTCTAATATATTTAATATATCTTTCTTTTTTTAGTAAGAATGATAAACCTGTGGCTAAACTAGCTGCCTACAGCTCTCTTGAGTCTTATCTCTGCCAAAAGGATGCCAATGGTCGTGCTCAGAATGAGCTCAAGCTGCCTCAAAAAAAGGGACCGAAAAATAAGCGAAAAAACAGGTTAATACCCAGGAAATTTATTCAACTCCAAGACACAGTTTTGAGCAAGCCTTACCATAAGATTCAGATCACTGAGATTATTGGAGATAGTAAGATTATTGCAAATATTACCTTAGAAAGTGATGATATAGAACAACGCACAATTCAGTTAGCTGACATAGCCGGATACATTGATGAACCGTTAAAAAAAAAATAAAGGTAATGTGACTGCTTTATTCAATTTAAATTCCTTTGAACACAAAAACTAACTTTATGATTAACAATGATAAAGAAGCAAACTACTTCCTCACAATCTACCTTACCATCTCAGGACTCTTTTGGAAACATTGTCATTCATATGATGCCATATGGAGGAAAAAAAGGCCAGCTGCAATTAACCTGTATATGTCCAGTAGACACAAGTCTCACACTCATCCAAGCTATATTTACTCACAAGAATATCCACGAAAAAGCTGTTGTTTTGGCTGAAGCGGATCCAAATTCCCAAATGTGTCACCTTCTACAAGTTCTCGATCTTATGAAACAAAAATGATGAGTAGAAGCCAAGTTTTTATGGATCAAGAATCTGCTGTCATATATTAAGTCAGAAAAAAAGGAACAAGTAAATTTATTTGGAAGTCTTTCAGAATGTTTTTTTGAATAGTTTTTCCATGATTCCTTGGACCAAAATCTCATCATTGTTAAAAGTACGGTAACAACTGAATGTAATTCAAGCTATTATCCAAAGAAAGTTCTGTCTCTGGTAAATTGTTTCGATATTGTACTTATGTAAGTATCTAATCATTTAGAATGGGTCTGTGGACATATCAGCATTGAATGCTACAAATGTCAATTTTTTTCAATAAAATTAAATTAATGAACTATTTGTGACTAATCGGAGTGATAGCCAGGTTATTTGGTGTGGACGTAAAGTAGATGGCTAGTTAGAGTGTGCTAGTCAGAGTGGTTAGTTGTTGTGGATTGGATGACTATTCGGTGCGGGGCTAATTGGCGTAAGGTGCGTGATGTTAGGACTGTGAAAGGATTACTAATTTATATATTTTTCCTAGAAAAATGAATACATCAGTATTGTCAGGAAGCACCTATTTCGAAACTTGCCTCAAACACTGGCAGGAACCTTATCTCTGCATATGTGGATCTGAGTTCAAGACTACCAATGGCGAAGCACCAAAGAATATTCCTGTCAATGCCTACGGAATTGAAAAAGTCACTTTAGTCGAGACTGGGGAAACTAAGTAAGTGATTTTTTACATTTATCCATTTACCCTTTTTACGTTTATCCATTTACCCTTTTTACGTTTTATTCATTTACTCTCAAACTTTTCTTCTGATATCTTAGAAATGTATACCAATGTGCGGACAATGCCACATCAACAAGACAAATCGACCAGCGACTTCCCTTGATTCTTGTAATTAATGTTACAGGAATTAGTATTGATGATAAAGGAGTATATCTTCAGAACAAGGATCTATCTGAAGAAATCAGTTTTCCCTATGAGGATCACGTTATGGCAAAAAGGTAGGCATTAGAATTTTATTTCATTAATTTTCTATCTTGCTAATCTTCAAATATAGGTATCACCTAGCTGGAGTTTCATATTGCAATGGAAGCCATCACATTGCTGACATCTACTTTAAGAAAACTAAGAATATAGGCTGGTATCAATACGATGGATTAGAGAAGATCTATCATGCAAGAGCCATGTGTATTGGACGCTCACATCCATTACTAAAAAATGGGTATACTATGAACTTTGTCATTTATGCAATGATCTGAATATGTCATTAGAAAAAGGCAAATATTAGTCAATAAAGTCACATGAATTTAGCCAATCAAATACAAGTTTTACAAAAAAATCGAATTTCACCTGATATGACCAGGTTTCACCAAAAAAGTCAGATTTTACATGATACGACCAGTAAAATTCAGGTTTCATCGAAAATGTCAGATTTCACATGATGCAAACAATAAATGCAGATTTTATACAGTAATCGCAAAAATAACAGATTTCACATGATACAATTGATCGATGCGAATTTTCCCTTTTTGCAACCCAGGTTTCACCCTGTCATAATATAATTCCTATTTCTAATCAACCTCCTCAAATCGAATGGACTGAAATTAAAGAAAAATTTGATGACATTTATTCTACTCTTAATGAAACTTCACAACAACTTAACGAATATTGGAAACAACAATCTGTTACTCAAAATACTGGATACTATGGAATAAAAATTTACAATGATCAAGACAAAGGAAAATTACCAGAAAAAGCTCATTCTACAGATACTGATTATGATATTTATTATACTGGAGAAGGACCGATTAGAATTCCCCCTCATCAAGTTACCCTTGTTGATATATATATTGTCATAGAAATTCCTGTAGGAGTTGTATATCAAGTAATGTCTCACTCTTCACTTGCTAGACTTGGAATCAATATAAAAGGTGGAACAATAGATTCTGGCTATACTGGAAATATTAGTATTATTATTCAAAATAATTTAGAAGAAGATTATATTATCCAACCTCAACAGAAAATCACATAACTTGTATTTTTACAACTTGCACTAATTGATTAACTTAAACAAGTCTCTACTAGAGAACAACTTGAACAATCTAATTGTGGAACTGATAGATTTGAATCAACTGACTATCAAGAAGCTCAATATATTTTTTTGAACAACAATATAAAGAAAAAGTTATTGAACGATGAAAATTATCAACAGAACAAGAAAGACTTTTTATCAAATTATTAGAAGACAATGTTGATATTTTTGCAATTGAATTATATTAACTTGGTCAAAGTACTTTAATTCAACATGAAATACATACTAAAAATGAATCACCAATTAAACAACAATCTTATAGAACAATTCAGTCTGATCAATAATTTATTTTTGAAAAAATATAACAAAGATTGGATGCAAATATTATTCGATGCTCAACTAGTTCATGAATCTCACTTATTATTGTAGTTTCTAAAAAGAATAAAAAGAAAAAATTCTGTGTTGATTATAGAAAAATAAATGCAATTACTAAAAAAGATGCATATCCATTACCCCGAATTGATGAAATAATGGATTCACTTGGAAATGCACACTGGTTTTCATTAATGAACTTAATCTCTGGATATTGGCAAATTGAAATGAAAGAAGAAAATAAAGCCAAAACTGCTTTCACTTCCAGAGAAGGACTTTTTGAATATAATGTTATGCCCTTTGGATTATGCAATATCCCAGCAACTTTTCAACATATAATAGATATAGTACTTGGAGATTATAATTAGAAGTTTGTCAATATGTATATTAATGACTTGAATGTATTCTCAAAAGATTTTGAAGAACACTTAGAACATCTCAACAAAGTATTTTGCCGAATTCGAAATGC